GTATTTGTTTGNGTTGACATTATTTATATATACTCAGTCTTAAGTCCTATGCTGTTAAGATTTGGACGTGGGAAAAGTAATTAACATACAAAGAGTTTATTATAGTTGATCAGTTTGAAACCTCAGCTAATTCATTTTTAAGAGAGTTTTTTACTTATAGAACTTATATTGATAAGAAATGAGATTTTAGAGTATTTGTTTGGACTACAATGACTTGTATATCGCTGTTGAGAGTTATGCCTCTTATTTATAATTGATCCTGGGCTTCGTTTGATCTTTGACGAGATCATGCTACGAGAGGTAGAGTTTCCCCTATTTAGATTACTTTCAACCTAAAATATAGAATATGAAAATGGGTAAATTATGGGTGTATATCACATGATAGATCTTGANTTTATAATTGATCCTGGGCTTCGTTTGATCTTTGACGAGATCATGCTACGAGAGGTAGAGTTTCCCCTATTTAGATTACTTTCAACCTAAAATATAGCATATGAAAATGGATAAATTATGGATGTATATCACATGATAGATCTTAACTAGTGTAACTAGTAGATCAAATATATTATTTATAATTAACTTTGTAATTAGAAAAATCCTATTATGATTAACTTGGTGTAAGTTAATGTTAGTGGTTTAAAGCATGTTAATTGTACATTAACATTATTTTTTGTTTNGGTGTAAGTTAATGTTAGTGGTTTAAAGTATGTTAATTGTACATTAACATTATTTTTTGTTTTCAATGGCATATCAAGTTTAATAAAATTATTAACTTGTTATGTGATTATGGAATAATATGTATATTAAATGATTATTTAGCATATAATTATTGTGGTGGACTTGTGCTTATGTTTATAGAATTGATAAACATGTTGTCATGTTGAAAATATTATTATATTGTATTATTTATGTAATGGACATTGTAAATGGTACCAAAGACAATTGCATATTGAAATGTCATTATACATGGGTTACATTACATTCATGGGTATTGACATAGGTGGTTGATTGTGACCTCAGAAAAGTCGCACCAAAGTCTAGTTGAGTCACACGAAAAATTAAATAGATAAACGTGTCGGGGATAGCAAGAAGGACTAGATTCTCCCTCGAGTGCAAGACCTGCTTACTTGGTTTATATACTTTTCGACGGTAAAATTCCAGAAAAGTGTAACGGCCAAAACGGAGCCGCAGGTGGGATGTCCTGAAAATTCATTGATGGTTAATATCTCATTGGTGTAATACCATAAATTATCTCTCCACAAAAATATAAGAAAATAAATTAATTAGTTATTGAGTGTACATAACACTAATGACGGGATTTTGACTGTTCGGATACATACGCATGACATTGCATGTGTTGTAGGAGCCCAGGATGGGGCTCAGTGTTGGTATTGTNCTAGTTGAGTCACACGAAAAATTAAATAGATAAACGTGTCGGGGATAGCAAGAAGGGCTAGATTCTCCCTCGAGTGCAAGACCTGCTTACTTTGTTTATATACTTTTCGGCGGTAAAATTCTAGAAAAGTGTAACGGCCAAAACGGAGCCGCAGGTGGGATGTCCTGAAAATTCATTGATGGTTAATATCTCATTGGTGTAATACCATAAATTATCTCTCCACAAAAATATAAGAAAATAAATTAATTAGTTATTGAGTGTACATAACACTAATGACGGGATTTTGAATGTCCGGATACATACGCATGACATTGCATGTGTTGTAGGAGCCCAGGATGGGGCTCAGTGTTGGTATTATGTTCGTGAGTCTCATCTTATGTCATGACATGATTTATGACATTTGTTCATAATAGATATATTTGAATGATTGCATGAAATGATTGTTATATGTGACATTTTATAGGCATTTAGGTTGAGAGATATTCTCTATAGGAGTTATTCTATTGATCGTTGGCTCATCTTTTATAGGTACATTTTTCAGTTATTGCACAAGCGTCCACCNAAGAAAATAAATTAATTAGTTATTGAGTGTACATAACACTAATGACGGGATTTTGAATGTCCGGATACATACGCATGACATTGCATGTGTTGTAGGAGCCCAGGATGGGGCTCAGTGTTGGTATTATGTTCGTGAGTCTCATCTTATGTCATGACATGATTTATGACATTTGTTCATAATAGATATATTTGAATGATTGCATGAAATGATTGTTATATGTGACATTTCATAGACATTTAGGTTGAGAGGTATTCTCTATAGGAGTTATTCTATTGATCGTTGGCTCATCTTTTATAGGAACATTTTTCAGGTATTGCACAAGCGTCCATCGAAGGCAAGGCCATGAGCCCGCTTTGACGACAGAGCCGATCTGTGGCTCTTCTTTTGACATCGTAGTCCCTTGTTTATAATTACTTTTGCCATTGTGTAATTTTTGTAACAAAAACTTGTTTATATTTAAAAGACATGTATAACGGACTCTTTTGAGATATTTATTCTTTTTATGAATGAATGTACGTAATGATGATGATTATGATAATATTCGATACTATACAATTATGAATAGATGGATAGACCCAGTGTGGTCAATATTGTACAAGTTGCGTTTTGGGTAGAACTTCTCGTACAAATGAGACTCTGTCCAAATTTTGTTAAGTTATAAATTTTGGTAAATGAGACATAACGATGTAGTATCGAATTACATGGTATCCACAGGTATTCCGCGAGTTGATAGGNTCTGTGGCTCTTCTTTTGACATCGTAGTCCCTTGTTTATAATTACTTTTGCCATTGTGTAATTTTTGTAACAAAAACTTCTTTATATTTAAAAGACATGTATAACGGACTCTTTTGAGATATTTATTCTTTTTATGAATGAATGTACGTAATGATGATGATTATGATAATATTCGATACTATACAATTATGAATAGATGGATAGACCCAGTGTGGTCAATATTGTACAAGTTGCGTTTTGGGTAGAACTTCTCGTACAAATGAGACTCTGCCCAAATTTTGTTAAGTTATGAATTTTGGTAAATGAGACATAACGATGTAGTATCGAATTATATGGTATCCACAGGTATTCCGCGAGTTGATAGGTGATCAATCGGGTAATTACAGACACAAGAATTTTGGGTGTCACAAAAAAGTCAAGTAATATATAATCTAAGGGAGCAAGATACTCTCTTACAGTGGACGTAGCCTTAGTCATTCGGCTAAGATGAACTACTTACAAATTGTGTCCTTTTGTTTCTCATTGATCAACCCCCAAATCAACTAATCCACCATAATCCTTAAAACATCATTTACTAGGCTTGGCCGTTATTTTTGAGCATTATAAAATATATAATAAAATAACTTACAATTCATATCTCAAAAGATAAAAAAAATGACTTTTACTATTCGCGGTTAAAATCGTTTTAAATTTTACTTTAAAATTAATCTAACGGCTAATATTAACACCCTAAATTTAATAGAAAAAATAAGTCCTTAAAGAGTGTGTTTCGAGTGACTTTTTAAAAGTACTTCTAGAAATAATTTTTTATAAATACATTAAAAAAAAATAGTGTTTGAAACCATTTTACCACTGCATCTACCACCACTACTGCCAGAATCACCACCACTGCCATTGCTACTGTCGCTGCCCACCACCACCACCACCACCACCCATGTCGTCGTCGCTGCCACCCACTACCACCACCCGTGTCACCGTTGCTGTTGCCACCACCACCGCCACTACCTCCACCACCACCATCGCTACCACCATCACCCCCCGCCGCCACCACCATTGCTGCCACCACCGCTACTACAGTTATTGCCACCCCACCATAACCATCACTGTTTCTTACTACCACGACTGCCGCCCACCACCTCTCACCCTTATTACAAATCGATGTTGAAATTTTTTTGTTTCTTCTCTATGATTGTGATTTGATTTGAATATGAATACAAATATATTAATTATTTATTATTTTTAATTGCTATGTGTCTTCATGTACAAACAATAACTAGAATATATATATAATTATAGATTTAATTTTTTTATTTTTTGAAGAAAAATTCAGGTGGAATTTTTAGTTTATAAAAAACATTATACGAATGGTTTACTCAGGTTTTTTTTGTTAAAATTTAAATAAGTTTTTTTTTTATATATTTTATAAAAAATCTAGTTGTTGGTATCAAGACACATTAAGACATAATTAAGAAGAACTTTTTATGATTTTTTTATTTTAGTTAAANAGAAAAATTCAGGTGGAATTTTTAGTTTATAAAAAACATTATACGAATGGTTTACTTAGGTTTTTTTTGTTAAAATTTAAATAAGTTTTTTTTTATCTATTTTATAAAAAATCTAGTTGTTGGTATCAAGACACATTAAGACATAATTAAGAAGAACTTTTTATGATTTTTGTATTTTAGTTAAATANTTTTTTATATATTTTATAAAAAATCTAGTTGTTGGTATCAAGACACATTAAGACATAATTAAGAAGAACTTTTTATGATTTTTTTATTTTAGTTAAATATTGTTCAAGATAAATTTAATTATTAATAAAATGAGTATAGAATAAAATAAACTTAGTCATTAAAAAAATAAACATAGCAGTGATAAACTTAATAGTTTTATAATTAAGAATACATAGGACTCAGTAGCCCCACACTTTCTTTAAACCCACGCGTGAAAAATGCCTCCGTTTCTCTCTCACACACACACAGTTACAGAGACACACAAAAAATTAAACGCCGTTTTGTTTGTTTGTGTTTTTATCTCTCTTTATTTAACCTCAATCTCCTCGAGGTTACACGTCATATGGCGTGTGTCGAACACGTCGCGAGGAATTCATGCACCTGGCCTCTGGTTTCACCACTTGGATAAGGTCGGCCGCTTGATAAAGTCGAATTCTTTATACGTGGCACTCTATGAATGGTGATATTCAGTGGGTCCTACTTCTGAACAAAGAAAAGGACGACCGGACTTATCTCTTCTGTAACTCTACGCCTATATATTGTCACCTCCATAGCTCCTATTCTGAAAAATAAAAAAGAAATAATATCTACAGAACTCGAGTTCTCTCTTCTGCTACGGTGGAATTCTCTCTCTCTCTAAAATCATCGGAAATGGTTCTGTTGGTGACGGACCCTCTCTCTCAGCTAAGCTTGCCACCCGGTTTTCGGTTTTATCCGACCGACGAAGAGCTCATGGTTCAGTATTTGTGCCGGAAAGTCGCCGGACATCAATTTACCCTTCAAATCATTGGAGACATTGATTTATACAAATTCGATCCTTGGGTTCTACCCAGTAAGTTCTGAACCAAAAAAAAAAGTTCTCTCTCTATGCTTGCATATATATGGTAGCATGTTTTATAATTGTGTGTATTGTTTGAAGGTAAGGCGATATTTGGAGAGAAGGAATGGTACTTCTTTAGCCCAAGAGATCGGAAGTACCCAAATGGGTCAAGGCCTAATAGAGTCGCCGGCTCTGGGTATTGGAAGGCCACCGGAACTGATAAGACCATAACAACACAAGGACGAAAAGTGGGTATCAAGAAAGCTCTAGTGTTTTACGTGGGTAAAGCACCAAAAGGAACAAAGACCAATTGGATTATGCATGAGTACAGACTCTCAGAACCTCAAAAAAAAAATGGAAGTTTAAGGGTAAGCATACTAAACAACTATATATCATCCATCTCAATTTACATTTTTTATTAAAAAATAAAAATCTGATGAGAATTTTGGGTGCTTTTGATCAGTTGGACGATTGGGTTTTGTGTCGGATTTACAAGAAGAATTCAAGCGGCCAAAAACCCATATCTGATGTCCAAAGCATAGAACATAGCCACGGCTCATGTTCGTCGCCTTCGTCTCAAGTTGACGAAATGCTCGAGTTCGAGTCTTTGCCGGAAATTGATGACCGGTTTTTCACGCTGCCGACAATGAACTCGCGTAAAGCTATCCAGCCAGATGAGAAGCTGAACCTGCAGCGCTTGGGTTCTGGGAACTTTGATTGGGCAAGTCTAGCTGCATTTAATTCCTTGCCGGAATATGTCTCCGGCGTTCAGGCTCTGGCGCGTCCAACTCAGGGACATGTGAATGACAACAACAATAATAACAATCAAAATGGCGTTTATGTTCCTTCTATTCCACAGATTTGCCAGGTGGATTCGAAGTTTGAAATTTTAGATGAAGAGATTCCAAGTGGATGCAGAACTATCTCGGCGTACTTCCAACAGAACCCTAACTCATTCCCTCAAAATTACCACAACTCGGTTGACCCGTTTGGCATTGGGTACCCGACTAAGCCCGGAAGCTTTGGGTTTGGGCAGTAAAGATTAAAACTTAAACTTAATTAGAATAAAAAATTATTAGGGGTGAAATGGTCTGTATATATCCGGCATCGGTAATACTGTATTGATCAAATTTAAAGATTAAATTAAGAGCCAAATGACATGGTAGGATATTATTTAGAATTTTTATTGGGGTTCAAATGACATAATATCAAACTAATTGTCATGTCATTTAGGCTCTTAATTTGATCTTAAAATTTGATTAATGTAACATTACTCATCTGGCATACTATTTAGACTGACATTTGGGCTTTGAGTCCAGACCCGGAAGACAATTCATTGTTGGTTGGTTGGTTGAAGCACCAGAAGAGCAAACTTGCCATTTTTTTCTCTTTAGACTCTGTATGTTCAATTTTGACAGAGTACCAAATTAAATCTCATGTTGGGAATTGGGATAGCATAGTATTTTGAAGTCTGTATTTTGAACTTGGTGCAAGTAATTTTAATCTCTCTCTCTCTCTCCAAGGGTATTTTGGTGACATATTAGGGGACAAAAATGAATCAAATTGTGTAATTTAATTGAATTCGAATGTAATATTAAATTTTATTTTAAACGAATTGACATATCTTTGGCTCGTTCAAAAAAAATTTGGAAGTAGAGATGGTGATAGATCAAAACAGGGGGAGTAAAAATGTGTACTATATAAATATTGGTGGCCCTAAAAGTTTCTTTCAAAAAAAATTTGGAAGTAGAGACGGTAATAGATCAAAACAGGGGAGTAATTTTTATCTGTGTACTCGCTTAAAATCTTTTACATCCACCTCTATTAATGAGATTAATTTTAATCTCCATCTTTGTCCACTTGTAAATTTTAATTCTTGCTCCCATTATTTGTCCTCTGTGCATAACACTCAACTACCTAGAATGCATAGGTGTTAGTTGCTGGTTATAGCCCGAGTCTAAGGACTACTTTTCTTCTCTACGATATTTTGTATGCATAAAAAAAAAAAAAAAGGGGTGGAAGTTGCATTTTCTCAGTGTATGTGTCGATGTAAGTGTTCTATACCGATGGTGGTTGTGCATTTCTGTGTGTATGTGAGTGTCTAAGCAAGAAAAATTAATACCTAAAAAAGGAAAAATGGATTTTTTTCTTCACTCCAACATTTCCTCGACCACCAAAAATGTAAGGCGTTGATTTTTGATTTTAGCCTTTGCCAAGGTCCATTTTTCTTCTTTTTGACATTTTTGTCAATTACCTACTATGCATAAAAGGAAAGGGGTGGAAGCTTTATTTTTGTGTGTATGGGTTGTGTGATCTGTGTGGGTTATGTGTTTGTGTTTTTGCTTGGGAAGCGGGGTATGAGAAGTGTGCGTGAATGTGTGCTATGGATGTGTGAGTGTGTTGGTGTTGTGTTGTGTCAATGTGTACTGTGTGATATGACGAGAGGTGTGTGTGCGCGCTGTGTGAGTGTACGTTTGGTGAGTGTTGTGTCGGTGTGTACATCATGCGTGGTGGGTGGGTGTGGGCACTGCAAAAAAGGTTAAAGAACGCCTTCGGCTGGAAAAGGCCGATAGGCGAGACCAAGAGTCATCGGAGTTTTGCTAGTAGGGGCGATAAGACACAAACGGGGGGATAAGACCAGTGTCAGTGTGGCTGGGGCGACAATGGTGTTACTGGAGATAACGTAACAGAGAGAGAGAGAGAATGTGTGTGTGTGTGTGTGTAAAGGGGAGGCAGATATGCGACACACCTCTGACTCCGAGTGACGGTGAGATAGGAGATAGGATGCGATGAAATTGGGGGATATTTAGAGATAAAATTCAAATTTTATATATATATTAGGAATATTTCATACTCGAAAGTACGGTGTAATATGAATAATTTTAAGAGAATTGTCAGTGTCATTAGATGTATCTATCTGAAATAGTCAAATATATTTATTAAAGCCTATTATGTTTTATATTATGAATAACGGGTCTAGTGGGGGCAGGAATAAGTATTAATCCATCATCGTCTCTATTATGTGTGGGTTTATATTGATATCTCTGTATATGTCTATCGTATAATACGTATAATCCATTTCATTTAAACAAAAGGAATTTGAGTGAATTTCCATTTTTGCTCAGTTCACTACCATTTATATTTAGCCGCCACATAGTAATTTTAGCTTTTTTCAGCGTTCTCTCCTAAAAAATCTCTTGAGAAAACTGCAATCGAGCTTGAACAACAGCGGAATAAAGAACTGAATTGAATCTAGAGTTACATACAAGGATAAGTTTGAGGTTTTCACCTCCCATATAGAGGTTGTTTAATAATAAGTTCACATGTCTATAGAGGTTCTTTATAGACACGTGAACTTATTTCCATCGAGCTCCCACACGTTAAATTCAAGTCATTTATAAAATAAGTTTCACAATTCGTTTTTATCAAATTTGGTTCCTTTTATCATTTACTTGAGCCTAAAAAAAATTAAAATGGAGCAAAATCCTAACCATACTTGACATGTAAAGTTAGATGGACCTCAAAAAGAATTAGGAAAAATTTTAGCAACACTTTTTAATAAGTAAAAAATATATAAATTTTAATCAACTCAAATTAAATTTTAATCTGCACTAACAACTCAGATTGAGCTTAAATCGACTCGAATTTTAATATATATAAAAAAATTAAATAGCTTAAATCAAATTTTAATCATCTCAAATTTTAATATGAAGAAAATTAATAAATTTGAATTTTAATCTGTAAAAAAAAAAAAATTTAACGACTTGAATTTTAATCAAATTTTATGTAGAATGATTGTTTGGAATTTATGAAGAAATAATTTTGGTATTTTAGATATATTTTTTTTGTTAAAAATAATAGTTTAATGACATAGGGTATCAATAATTTTTAAATAAAAACTAGAAAAAGTGTTAATAATATTTTAGATAATAGAGAAATTATCTTTAAAGATATAATAAATTAAAAGCGATATGACTGAAATTTTTCGGAAATATTAAATAAATGATAAGAAGTAATAAGATTATTGCCAAAAAAAAAACCAAAAACCTCCGCTGCATCTTAAAAAGAGCCGAAAAAAAAAATAAAAAAATTAAACGTGTGGCGTGTGTGTCGTGCGTGCTTTTGTAAGATACAATGAACCGATCATGTCATGTCCTTTATGGCAAGCCTTTGCTCCATGTGGGGTTTGGACCATCCTAGGTTTGGACCATATGTACGATGTTTAATCACTCGTTTTTTTTTTTTTTTCATTGGTGTCCACTTGTTTTCCACCGCCTAAATAGATATTTTTGGCCGTATTTTTGGCTAAAGAATTGTAACCATGTTATACGTTTAACTCATTTTCAAGATGCGAACATGTGTATATCCATGGAGATGGAGTCCCAAAACAAATAATGGGATAAAGATTAAAATGATCCATGCATAATATTTACATTTTCATTGCATCGATTATTCATTGTTTTAGATTCATACGATAATTGATGGAAGTTATACATCATTAATTTTCTACCTCAACCAACCCTATTTCCAAAATCACTATACCAACTACAAAAAATCCTAGCACCCAACGTTAAACAAGTACTCGCTTTAATATGAGTTGAAATCTTTTTTACCCATGTTAAATGTCAAAGAGAGAGAGTATGGATGGCAGTCACAGGTTGGTGGGGCTGTTGATGCGGCCGACAGTAAGGGGATGAGAGAAAGGAAGGAGAAGATAGACTGGGGGAGAGAGAGAAGAAAAACAAAGAAAGGGAGAAAGGGCATGAGATTAAGNTGTCGGGGAGTCGTGACTTGGCTGTTGGTGGGGCTGTTGATGCGGCCGACAGTAAGGGGATGAGAGAAAGGAAGGAGAAGATAGACTGGGGGAGAGAGAGAAGAAAAACAAAGAAAGGGAGAAAGGGCATGAGATTAAGGCAGAGATGAGGGAAGTGAGCAGTAAGTTAGGGTGTGAGAGAAGGCTAGAGAGTGATTTTGGGTGTGAGTGAGGGTCGGATTGACAAGCTTTCAAAAATTCAAATTTTACTCTGAAATAAAAATTTCTGTGAGTTAATTTGGTTCATTGGATCAATAATTTTTAACCGTAATTTTAACCATAATTTTAGATAACTTGGAATAATCTCATCTATAAGATCTCTTTTTATCCTATCTTAAAACAATCTAAGCCGCTCTTTGTTTTTAGTTCAAAAATAGCTCTACTTTATTATATAGATATACACATATATAAACGTAACTAACTAACATTATATATGTGTGTGTGTGAGATTTCAAAACAAAAACATAATTACATTCAAAATAAAAATAATAGCATTGAATATTAAAATAAGTCAATAAAATGAACATAATATTATTAAATAGTAACATAAGTCAATAACATTGAACAATAATAATAATAACATGAACATAATAATAATAAAGAATAATGGTACTTTAAATTAAAGATAATAATATTAAACAGTAACATAAAATAACATTATATACTATGACCTATGTCTTTAATTTTAATAAAATGATATAGAAGAAAAGTAGGATTGGAAATGAACCCAAGCTTACATCCACCCAAGACTGAGCAGAGACCAGAGCTTATCATACCCTTTCCCTTTTTGTTTTCTCCTTGACTGGCTGGACAGTCTGATTCATTGAGTGTAAGGAGAAGTAATCTTTCTCAAAAGAAAATAGCAGGAACGATCTATATATATTCAGATGTTTTAAGTTTAAATTTTTGATAACTTTTTGAGGGTTTCAACACTTTACGGTTAAACTATGAGAGATTTATGTTTTATAAATATGTTAATCTTGACGTGAATAGTTTGTTTTTGATTAGACTGGAGAGGGAATTAATCGAGACACACGTAATTTAGCCCGAACATATTAACCATTGAAACAAAAAAGAAAGAAGAAACCGCTGTGATGGAAACACGTTCTTGANGTTCAAGCTTTCTTCATTAATGACCACCATATCTTCATTTATCTTATGGTAATGTATACTTTTCCACAGAAAATGGAAGTTATTATAATATGAGTTATGCAGCTATTATTGCCCGTTACACAAGCGATATGAGTCTTAACGTAGTCGTAAAATTGTTATATTATCATCTCGTGTCATGAAAATTATGTATNTCAATAGTTAATGGATCGTTGAAAGTAATTGAGCAATGAACTGTAGGCCCTTTGGATCTTGCAGGGTTCAAGCGTGCAAGAACATCTATTGCATCACAAGCTTATGACTAGTAAACGAGATAAATGCCTAGGCCTTTTTGATGATTGGCTGGGAATTTATTGAGCCTAAAAGTGATGCTGGACAAGGCCCAAATCAAAGTGTTCCCCCTTAAAGAATATTAACATATTGGAAACCCTAGCTACTAATTCTGCTGGTTAAATGGGCATTGTTGGGCGTGGGTTTTCAGCCCAAAAAAGCACACTTAGTGGATGAAGTGACATGATTCCTTTTCTGGCTCAAGATTCCTTAATCACTAATTGATGTGAGACCTGTTTAACACCTCAACAATCCCCTCTCAATCGAGGCGTATAATAGATGATCATCACTGTTCTCTCATCCGGCACAAAGAGCTGAGTCTACATGGTGGCTTAGGTCATGACTACCACTTGTTGGGCATAGGTTTCTAGCCCAAAAAACGCACCTAGTAGGTGGAATGACCCAAAGCGTAGAACTCTTGATGTAAGACTTGTTTGACACTTCAATAGGCATTGACCTGGTGCCCAATTTGCCAAATTCTAATTTTGAAGCTTTCTC